CTTCCTATCCATAAGCATGGAATATCTTCCCATTTCTTTGTGTTTTCTTTGATTTCTTTCAACAATATTTTATAGTTTTCAGTGTATGTCTTTTACCTCCTTGGTTAAGTTTATTCCTATGTATTTTATTCTTGTTGCTGTGATTGTAAATAGGATTGTATTCTTGATTTCTGTTTCTGCTAGTTCATTGTTAATGTATAAAAACACAACTGATTTTTGTATGTTGGTTTTGTAGCCTGCAACTTTACTATATTCGTTTATTATTTCATTGTTTTTTGGTAGATTCTTTAGAGTTTTCTATATATAAAATTATATTATCTGCACATAGTGACTGTATTACTTCTTTCCAATTTGAATCCCTTCTATTTCTTTTTCTTGCCTAATGGCTATGGCTGGGACTTCCAATCCTTTGTTGAATAAGAGTGATGAAAGCAGGCATCCTTGTCTTATTCCCGTTCTTAGGGGATTAGCTTTCAGTTTTTACCATTGAATGTGATATTAACTGTGGGTTTGTCATATATGGCCTTTATTATGTTGGGTTATTTTCCTTCTATACCCATTTTATTCAGAGTTTTATGATAAGTGGATAGTGAGTATTGTCAAATGCTTTCTCTGCATCTATTGAGATAATCCTGTGATTCTTATTCTTCATTTTGTTAATATGGTATATTTCATTGATTGATTTGCAAATGTTGAACTATCCCTGCATCCCTGGAATAAACCCCATTTGATCGTGGTGTATGATCCTTTTAATATATTGTTGTATTTGATTTGCTGACAGTTTGTTGAGGATTTCTGTATCTTCGTTTATCAGTGATATTAGCCTATAATTTTCTTATTTTGTGGTGTCCTTGTCAGGTTTTGATATCAGGGTAATGTTGATCTCGTAAAATGAGTTAGGAAGTGTCTCCTCCTCTTCGATTTTTTGGAAGAGTTTGAAAAGGATAGGATTAGATCTTCTTTGAATGTTTGGTAGAATTCACCAGAGAACCTGTCTGGTCGTGGATTTTTATTTTGGGGGAGGTTTTTGATTACTCTTTGAATCTCATTACAAGTATTTGGTCTATTCAGATTTTCGATTTCTTTTTGATTCAGTTTTGGAAGGTTGTGTGATTCTAGAAATTTATCCATTTCTTCTAGGTTATCCAATTTGTTGGTGCTTTTATAGTATTCTCTTATAATTCTTTGTATTTCTGTGGTATCTGTTGTAATTTCTCTTCTTTCATTGCTGACTTTATTTGAGCCTTCCTTTTTTTTCATTAGTGAGTCTAGGTAAAAGTTTGTCAATTTTGTTTATCTTTTCAAAGAACCAGCTCTTAGTTTCATTGATCCTTTCTATTGTCTTTTTAATCTCTATTTTATTTATTTCCACTGTGATTTTTATTATTTCCTTTCTTATACTGATTTTGGACCTCATTGCTCTTTGTTTTCTAGTTCCTTTAGGTGTAAAGTTAGATTTTTTATTTGAGATTTTTCTTGTTTCTTCACGTAGGCCTGTACTGCTATAAACTTACCCTGTAGAACTGCTTTTACTGCATCCCATAGATTTTGGTATGTTGTATTTTCATTTTTATTTGTCTCCAGGTGTTTTTTGATTTCTTCATTGATCCAATAGTTGTTCAGTAGCATGTTGTTTAGTTTCCAAATATTTGTGGCTTTTCAGTTTTCTTCATGTAGTTGGTTTCTAGTTTCATAGCATTGTGGTCAAAAAAAAATGCTTGATATGATTTCAGTCTTCTAAAATTTATTGACACTTGTTTTGTTTCCCGGCATATGGTCTATCTTTGAGAATATTCCTTGTGTACTTGAGAAGAATATGTATTCTGCTTTTGGATAGAATGTTTATACATATCTATTAAGTTCCTCTGGTCTAATGTTTCATTTAAGGCTGATGTTTCCTTGTTGACTTTCTGTCTGGGTGGTCTATCCATTGAACTAAATGGGATATTAAAATCCCCTACCATTATTGTCTTGTTAGTTTCTCCCCTTAGGTCTGTTGATAATTGCTTTATATACTTTGGTGCTCCTATGTTAGGTGCATATATATTAATAAATGTTATTAATGGATTGTCTTGATGGATTGTCTCTTTTATCATTATACAGTATCCATATTTGTCTCTTGTTACCTTTCTGGGCTTGAAGTCTATTTTGTCTGATATATATATGGCTATACACACTTTCTTTTGGTTGCCATTCACGTGGAGTATCATCTTCCATCCCTTCACTTTGAGCCTATTTTTGTCTTTAGAACTGAGATGCTTCTCCTGGAGGCAGCATATTGTTGGATTTGTTTTTTAATCCATCCTCTGTCTTTTGATTAGTGAATTCAATCCATTTACATTTAGAGTGATTATTTATATTTGAGAACTTAATACTGCCAATTTATCTTTTGTTCTCTGGTTGCTCTGTATTTCCATTGTTTCTTTTTCCTTATGTTTATGACTGCAATTTCAGTTCAGTGGTTTTTTGTGCTGTATTTCTCAGTTTCCTCTTTTTTTATGTTTTATGACTCTGTTCTGAATTTTTTGTGATTACCATGAGGTTTTTATAAAAGGTCTCATAGATGGGATAGTTCTTTTTTTGCTGATAGCCTCTTATCTCCATTTCCCTATGCAGGTTCCATCCTTTTCCTTTTCCCCTTCTATATTTTTGTTATCACAAATTATCCCTCTCCATATGGAGAGGATTTTGTTACCAAATAGAAGTGGTGATATTTATTATTATTGCTTTCTTTCCCTTTAACCTTTATGTTATAATTGTTTTCTATCCTATTCTGATACAGATCTGCAGTTTTATAATTCTGTCTATCTATTTATCATCTTGTTCAAAGCTTTGTATACCTTTGCCTTTTCATTTCAGGTAGGAGGGCTCCTTTCAACATTTCTTGTAAGGTAGGTCTAGTGGTGATGAACCTCCCTCAGCTTTTTTTTTTGTCTGGGAAAGCCTTTATTTCTCCTTCATATCTGAAGGATAACTTTGCTGGATAGAGTATTCTTGGCTGACAGTTTTTAGCTTTCAATATTTTGAATATCTCTTTCTACTCTCTCCTAACTTCTAGGGTTTCTGCTGAGAAATCTACTGATAGCCTAATGGGGATTCCCTTGTAGGTTATTTTCTTTTTCTCTCTGGCTACTTTTAATATTCTTTCTTTTTAATTGATTTTTGACAGTTTTATTATGATGTGTCTTGGATAAGGTCTTTTTGCATTGAGATAGTTGGGTATTCTATTATCTTCATTGATTTTTATATCCAGTACCTTCCCCATGTTTGGGAAGTTCTCAGCTATTATTTCGTTAAATAAGCTCTGTGCTCCCTCTCTCTCTTCTCCTTCTGGAATACCAATTACCCTTATGTTGCCTTTCTGGAGGAGTCAGATAATTCCTGTAGAATTTCTACATTTTTTTTAAGTCTTAGTTCTCTCTCCTCTTCTACCTGTATCATTTCTAGGTTTCTATCATCAAGCTCACTAATTCTCTCTTCCATATGATCTCTATTTCCAATGCTTTCTAATGCATTTTTCATCTTATTTATTGAGTTCTTCAGCTCCAAAATTTCTGTTTGGTTCTTTTTAGAGTTTCAGTCTCTTTGGTAAAATATTCCTTCTGTTTATTGATTTTATTCCTGAGCTCATTGAACTGCATTTTTTTGTGTGGGTTTTTTTTTTTTTTTTTTTGTAGCTCATTGAGTTTTTCCATGGCAGCTATTTTGCATTCTTTATCAATTAGATCACAATCCTCCATGACTTTGTGTTTGGCTTCTGGAGAATTGTTTTCTATATGTAGTGCCCTGGTACTGTGGCTTTTTGTGGTGCTTGCTGAGTTATTCCTCTACTGGCACATTGGTTGTAGCAAACACATTTTTTATTTAGGTATGGCTTTGTTTTGATTCAAACTTTTCAGCTGCTTGAAGATTAGAGGCCTTTCTTTCATTTTTCAGTAGGTGGCGCTATAGCACTTGTTTTTGGTTTCTCTTACCTGAACTTCCTCTGGCTGTATTTGAGAATCTACACATTCTACCTTCCACCACCTCTATTTGGGATGTTGCTGGTACTCTTGTCATTGCCATCTGCACTTCTAGGGGTCACTGATGCCTTGCTGTTGCTGGTGTCACTGCAGTTGCTGGCTTTGCCACCTGGGACATAGGGATAGCTGGTGCCTCAGCTGCATCCAGGACCACCTGCGTCAGAAGCTCTGCCACTGTGGTGGGGTGGGGGAAGAAGTCTGGTACATGGGGCACCATCTCAGCTGTTGCCTGTTACCTTGTGGTCATAGGCACCACTGCAGTTGGGATGTCAGAGTTCTGTGCACACCTCTGCTGCTACTACCAGGCTCTGCACTGAGACCAGGGGGGTGGGCTCATGGGCCTCCACGTCTGCTGTTGCTCCACTTGCCGTGGTTGCAAGCACCTCTGTGGCTAGCTGGCTGAGTCACTCGTGTGCCTCTGCTGCTGCCCACCAAGTTCCTTGCAGCTGGGGACAGGTGGCTCAGCCACTGCAGCCTGGATCCAGGATCCTGGGCTCTGCCTCTGCTGTTCCCCATTTAGCCTCCTCTGTGTGCTCCAGTTCACCCACCTTTGTATGTACTGATGTGTGGATCTTTCTGGCATCCTGGTGTGTTGTGCAATGCCTTTGTTGGGTTATGGATGTTTTATTCACTGTAGATTGAAGGAAAGAGACAAAATGATCCTCTCATGCTGCCATGATGATGACATCACCAAAAACGAGACTTTTTAATGCTATAAGTTTACAACTTCTTTCTCATAGTATTATCTTCATAATATTGTCTTCCACTGCTGTGTGTTGAAGGGATTCTCAGAAGGAGATCCTAACTACTTTATAATTGTAACTTTAAAGTGTTCACAGAAATATTACTTCATTTTATCACATCTAGAGCTTGTGCCAGATACACAGAAGGTATTTGAAAGTATTTCATGATTGAATTTTAAATCATCTTTAATTTAATTTTTTAAAAACTAAAAAGTGATTCAATTTTGTTTTGCAGTGATGGGCATGTTGGTAAAATTTATTCCAAATCCTCTTCCTTTTTGGATTATGTCAGAAAGTCTCTAAAGAAGCTTGGATTAGATGAGTCAAAGGTCAGTATATGATGACCCATTGTTTTTATCAAGAACAGAAGAACTCCTATGGAGTAATGAATTGAGATAATACAAAACTATTTGCCTTCTACTTTTCTCCCATTTGTAAAAAACATCTAAATTATATTGAAAGCAAACCTCCATTACCTTTACTCCCGTACACCTTTCCTGTCAGTGTGAGTAGTTTGCTGTCCAAAATCTCTCCAGAGAGATTCCCCCTTTAGGTTTATCCAGGTAAAAACCTGTCAATTTTCAAATCAAAATAGAGTTGAAAAGGAAGAGAACAGAACAAATGGGAATTTTAAGTAAAGGAAGAAAAAATGGTTTTAATTTTGAACTGCGTTTATTTAAAGATTGTGTAGCAAATTAAAACTAAAAACCTTGAATTCAAAAAGCCTTTGAATGGGAGAATCCTGGAAAGTGGCAAATCATAGGAGGTCCAAGCTATAATTGAGACTATATTGTTGAAAACAAAAAGGTAAGCTGATTGACTAGTAATAATAAATCGTCTAACCCTGAGGGAAAAAATAAACTCCCAACATGATTCAAATGAGTTGTTAACTGAAATATTAAGTTGAACTTGGATCACTCTGATATTTTGAATTGATTATAAATTGAAATAAAGAATAAAATAGATGGTTAAAGGAATAAAATGTATTTCTTGAAAGAGAAAACTTACACAGATACGGTTCAGTTATATCAAAGCTAAAGAGTATTATTATTTATTGTAGCAATTATCCATTTTCTTCGGAGTTGCTTTATTACTTAAAGCAATTAAACTGGTACTAATCCAATTTGCTCCCCTGTGTCATGGCCATTAAAAAAGTATTCCTGGGGCCAGCCCCGTGGCATAGTGGTGGTTGGGTTTGGTGTGCTCCACTTCGGCAGCCCGGTGTCATGGGTTCGGATCCCCAGTGCGGACTACACCACTCGTCAGTCATGCTGAGGTGGCAACCCACGTAAAAATAGAGGAAAATTGACACAGATGTTAACTCAGGGATAATCTTCCTCAAACAAAAGAAAGAGGAAGATTGGCAACAGATGTTAGCTCGGGGCAAATCTTCCTCACCAAAAAAAAAAAAATTATTCTTGACTCATATGATTTAAGAAAGATTAAATGAGGTACTGTATGTAAAACGCTGAACACAATGTTTGTACATAGTAAATGCTAACTAAATAGTATTGATTTTTAATATTCTGATCTTTGTAAATTTACTACCTGTAATAACACAATTGATATGACACCTATATATTTTTTTATTTAGTCACCAAAACAAAGATCCTTCTAGTCTTGCATAAATGAATAAGAATAGACACTGTTGGGGTCGGCCCAGTAGCATAGCAGTTAAGTTCATGTGCTCTGCTTCGGTGGCCCAGAGTTCACAGGTTCAGATCCCGGGCGCGGACCTACGCACCACTTATCAAGCCATGCTGTGGCAGGCATCCCACATATAAAGTAGAGGAAGATGGATACAGATGTTAGCCCTGGGTCAATCTTTCTCAGCAAAAAGAGGAGGATTGGCAACAGATGTTAGCTCAGGGCTAATCTTCCTCACTGTTATCCTAGTTATTTTATTTCTGGATTTTTTTTTTTTAATTTTTAATCAGACTGTTCTTCCTTCCAATTTGTCTTACTTAGTACATATGTTTATTGCATGTCTCAATTTCACGTCTTGGATTTTATATCAGGAACACAAACCTAAGCATTATTTTCATGAATAAAGAGCTGAGTTTTTACTTAAACTAAAAATGTGTTGTTCTTTGCCAAAAACCAAATAGGAAAAATCCAGAAAGAATGTTACTGATCCTTCCTGATGGCTTTCTCTTCCCAAGTTTGTCTTTAATAATAACCATAGTAAATGTTCCTTAGTATGCTTATTATGTTACTGATAAGAATGTTAATAGCTAATATTTACTAAGCACTTACTATGTGATAGTTATACTAAGGACATCACAACATTATCTCATTTACTTTTCACAAAAACACCCATGGTAGATACTGTTATTATTCCCAGGGTAGTGATCTAGAAAGATAGGCTCAGAGAAAGGCAGGTCATTTTTCCAGGGTCAAAGAGCTAGCAAGTGGGAGCTGAAACTTGGAACACAGATTCCACTAACATCAAAACCTCAACTGTTCAACACCACTATACTGAGAAGTGAAATTTAAAACAAAAGAAAAAAAGACTAATGTAGATAAGTATCACCATGTAAAATCAGTCTTAAATGATTCCCTTTATTAGTGAATAAAGACAATAATAGTACCCCACTGATTTTCTCATAATACTGTTAAAGCTCATTAAAAACAAATATGTCAAATAAAATGGGTTAGAAAAAGAAAAGGAACAAAAAGCCCAAGCTGGAAGACAGTGTGGGGGAAAGGTACCAAAAAACATAATAAAGGTGTTTAAGAAGATGTGCTGGTGAGAGAAAGCAAATAGATGTGTATATGTTTTCTTAGGGTTTTTTGCTTGTTTATTTTAATGTTAAGCAAGAGGAATGAGAGAGTTGTGTCTCCCTGGCCAGAGTGATTGGAAATAAGATAAGTTATTAAAACCAAACATATTTCTTATCCAATACAAAATTCTATCATTGTTCTCCCACATCATGAAGTATCAGTGCTAAAATGACAGTTTTGACCACAAGCACAAGAAAAAGAGATTTGTGTATAGTTTTATGTTAAAAATGAAATCAATTTTCACATGAGATTCTAACTACTGAAAAGTATCAAAACCGTTGAAATTTAAAATATTAGATATACCAAAATATTTAAAAGATCTTTGACTAAATTCATAATCATTTATTAACAAACTTTTATATATAATTGAAAGTGTGGTGAATGTATTGATGTGTTTCTCATCTTTTAAAGCACATCTCTTCATATTCAAAACTATGTAAGCAAGTGAAGTGCCTAGAAAATCTTCTGATATGCTCTGGATACACTCTTTATTTGCAAGAAATCATGTTAAATGTATAGAAGTAAACTGAGGACATTCGCAGACAGATCATCATTCCAAAGGAGACCAGAGCTGCATGTGCTGGATATAGAAGTGGCTCATACACAGCTTAAAAGATTAATCCATAAGTCCTATAGTCAGTTGTGAAAGACAGCATTGGATATTTTATCTTAGAGCAGAATTTCTCCAACTCAGCACTACTGACATTTGCATAATTCTGGTTGTAAGGGTCTGTCCTATGCATTGTAGGATGTTTAGCAGCATCCCTGGCTTCTAGATGTCAGCAGTAGCACCCTAGTGGTGACAATCAAAAAAATTAAATTAAAAAAAAAAGTCTCCAGACATTTCCAAAAATGCCATGGGGGACAAAATCACCCCCATTTGAGATCCACTGTCTTTGAACATTGGTCATCTTAGTGATTCTATTTGCAATCATCTAATATTCACCTTATAAACCCCACATTTTTTTTAAAAATCCCATATTACACCAAGAAGCATGGAGAGGGGAAAAGAGGAAGAAGCAGTGATTCTGTTGTTACATTTTGAAGACTTTTTGTTCAAAATTATCTCCTCCTTGGTCTTTGATTTTGTATAGCTCTAACCCCTTAAAGGTGATATTGTTTCAGCCCTGCGTAGAATACAGGTCTGTTTAAGAAGAGTGTTTAGATTCCACAGTAAAGTTAAGCCTAACTCTATAGCACTGAAAACAATAAATTGTGGCAGAACATCAACTACCTTATATCAGCAAGTATACTGTTTGTAATCGAGTGAAATGTTACAGGAAAATTCTTGTAAGGTTCAAGTATTTCTTTGTAAAACATTTTAATAGAACTTTAGAATAGTCTAAAATAACAAAATTGTAGTGATTAGCTTTACCTAGACCTAAAAAAGATTAGGTATTCTCAAACCTTATTTTCTGTCCCAAACTTTGGTATCTCACCAGATTTCAGAAAACCTCCAAAATTGTCTTTAAGGTCTCATGTTTTCTTCATGGTCCACAGCGTTTTATCCTCTTTTGTATTACTTTTCATTCTTTCTCCTTCCCCATGCGTATACTGCACGCACAGGAATGCATGAATATGCACACACACACGTCCATAGGATTCTAAAAGCGTAAGAAATGGTATTGTTTCATAGTCAAAGAATGAGCTGGAGTATTTGTCCATAAGAAGAGGAAAGGAGCTTATGTTCTAGAGCTTGCTTGTATGTGTGTGTGTGTGTGTGTGTTATATAATGAATACTCAAACAAATGAAGTTAATTTCAGATATAGAGAAGTGAAATAAAAGCAATACAAGTGGTGATTTAAGAGGGGGTGGTGTACTGTTGAATGGACAAAATTGAAAACCACTAAGCTAGAACTCTACTTAGTCGAAGTAGTTAGAGGATAATTCAGAAAAATATCCTAAGATATTTTCTCAAAAGCAAAACTTTTGAAACCAAAATCATTTAGTTATTCTTCAGCAAACATTTATTTTGAAGAATCACCCATGTGCCAAGAACAGCGTTAACTCTGGAGCTACGAAGATAATTAGGACATAACCATGAAAAAAGAAAACGAGTAATTATAGCGTGAATTTACACCAGCAGACACATACATAAACTATGGTGGCGTCACAGGGAAAGGAGTGACTCACTCTGCCTGTGAAGATCTCACCAAGGACCTTAGCTTGGTCTTAAAGGATGCATTGAGTAAACAAGGTGAGAGGATAGGCAGCAAGGAATTCATTTCAGATGTGTGGGGGGAATAGCTTGTGCAAAACCACAGAGATGTAAGAAACATGATTCTGGACTCAGCATTGCTGCAGCATAAAGCAAGTAGGGGAGGCAGTGGTGAGAGATGAGGCTCAAGGAGTGGGCACATGTGGAGAGGCCAAGTAAACTGATCTTTGGACATTAAATCAGAAATTAATTGGGACTAATCATACTCACCGGGTGGTTTAAATACAGGCGGGAGGGCAGGAATCGTTCCACAAGATGGCCAACAGCAAATCTAAGGAGCTCATAAACTCTTCTGTGTGGTAATGTGTCCGTAAATGGCCTAGACT